TCCCTGTTCCTCAGGCTGTAGATAAAGGGGTTCATCATTTGAGGGACCACCGTGTACATCATTGAAGCCACCGCTGTGATTCTGGATGAGTCAGTAATTGCAGAACTAATGTACACCCCAAAACCTGTCCCATAGAACAAGGACACAACTGAGAGGTGGGACCCACAGGTGGAAAAAGCTTTATATTTTCCACTTGCAGATGGCATTCTCAAAACAGAGGAGACAATTTGAGTATAAGAAAAAATTATTCCAGACAGAGGAATACCACCAAATATGCTAGTTGCAGAATATATCAGGATATTATTGATGAGGGTATCCGAACAGGCGAGCTTGATGACCTGAACAACTTCACAGAAGAAGAGGGGGATTTCAACATCTGTGCAGAAGGACAGCCGCAGCACCATCAGACTGTGGATCAGGGCATCCACTAGGCAAATAAACAGGGGAAGAGAAATCAGCAGACCACAGAGGCGGGGGTTCATGATGACCGTGTACCTCAGCGGGTGACAAATGGCCACATAGCGGTCATAGGCCATTATGCCAAGAAGAAAACTTTCCAGGCTAGCAAAAACCAGGACAAAGTACAGCTGGGTGAGGCAACCTGTATAAGTGATGTTCTGACTGTGCGGTTTGATGTTCACCTACATCTTTGGGATCGTGGTTGTGCTTAAACAGATGTCAGTAAAAGACAGATTGGAGAGAAAGAAATACATGGGGGTGTGGAGGTGGGAGTCTGAGATGACAGCCAGGATGATGAGCAGGTTTCCCAGGACGGTGACCAGGTACATGAACAGGAACAGGCTGAAGAGGAGGGGCTGCAGTTCTGGATCCTCTGTCACCTCCATGAGAAGGAATTTCGAAACACCTGTTTGGTTTCTGGATTCCATGTTGTTGATAAATCTGATTTTAAAAAGATGGGAGGACAAGGCCATAAAATGTGTTTTGTAGATCAGCAGATGGAGCATTACCAGACAGAAACACTATCTAAGGAAGAGAAAGAAACTAATGGTGGGGGATACCATTAATTAAAGAGAGGCCTTCTCCATGCATATTATTTTGTTCTTTTTCAAAACCTGAAGCTTACATCACAGAGGGTCAATATTGTTAATTGTGGAAAGTGTTAAGGAGTAATCATTTTTAGAAATTACATCATCTTTGCTGTTATGATTATTAAAACATTTGGTAATTTTAAAAAGAGAAACATATATACTAGGGAGGCAGTTTGAAGATTCTGTCTGGATCCCCAGACAACTCAGATCCAGGAACCAGAGTTAATACAAAGGTGTGTCTGAAACCAGGAATGGGAATATAAGGTAGTTTCCAAACATTCTATTCCCTCTTTCTCCCACAATCATAGGATTGCTCGTAAATGTCAGAGAATTTTATCACAGTCACACTGTCTTAGGGGAGTCAGATTTTTACTCAGGAGTGAATGGTTCTGGCTATGGTAGAGACTGAGTAAGAAATTAGTAGATGACAGATCCTTGAGTATTAATACAAATCTAGAAGAAAACATGAGAAAAAAAAATGACAGACAGTAAGCAGGAGCCTCATGGTGACCTGGTGCTGATCATTTGGTGTATATACTCTCTTCACAGCTTCCACTGGATGAACTTGTGTTAAAACACCTGTCTTCATTCCAAACATTAACTAAGGGACTTTAGGGTACCTGGCTGGCCTCACAGTGGGATGATAATTAACATTTCCAGAGGTATCACATGGAAGGTCTGTCCTCAGGAAGGTCAGAGGGACTGAGTGAGGGAGGCATTGGGCTCCTGGGCAGAAAGGACCATGCCCGGGAGCAGGCTCAGGTGGGGCTACTAATATTTGAAGAATGACTGTTGAATGAGGTGGTTACAAGCACATTGCAGTCTCTGTATCCCCACATTGGGCTCCTGGGCAGAAAGGACCATGCCCGGGAGCAGGCTCAGGTGGGGCTACTGATATTTGAAGAATGACTGTTGAATGAGGTGGTTACAAGCACATTGCAGTCTCTGTATCCCCAGAGGCTCAATATCCAAAGTTCCTCATTAGCCAAGGAATTTTATTGTCACTGTGATCCCAGGACACTGCAAGTCCTTAAAGACCAAGAAGACTCTAGGAGGAAAATAATCAGAATGGCTGCTTTCCTGACCCTAGGAGGCCAGGTGTGGACCATCCACTTTTCTCCTGTGTGTCTGATGATCTCCATATTCACAGACATTGAACAGGTGGACACACATTCTTCTCTAACTGAATTTCAGTCTTCTTTTCTTAGACATAAACAAAAGCATCTTTATATAATCGATGACAGCAAAGAAGTCTAAAACCAAGTTTTGGTATGCAAACATAGTTTGTATGTGTAGGTATAAATAATGTAATTAAAAATATAGCAAAATTGTTTTTTAATAGCTAAGTTGTTTTAAAAAGCAAACACTCCTGGGGTTTCTCTCTAAGAGTCGTTGAATGTTTCCTGAACCTTAATCTTTTCTATGCATGTTTTACACAGCAGAATCTAATCAATTTTCTATGACAATTCAATTAATCAATTCTGTCAATTCTGTCCTTGATCAATACAGTCATATGTGTATGGATCATAACTGTATTTTAAAATCTCATCACAATAGTTTCTATGTACATTTTTCTTCACTTTGAGGGACTATGAGTCAAAATTATGGGTCTCGATTTTTAACAGAGTTGTGAAAAATTACAAAATAATAATCTCAGTACACTGAGTCAGATTTCACCCATTATTTAGTCCATGTTTGTATTTAATTAAAATTTTTTCTTCTTTAAAAAATGCAATATTTCTGTGTGTTTATCAATTTATTTTCTCAGCTTTTAAATATTTGTGTATGAACTTTCTTAACCTATAGTTTTCTTGATTTTAGACTTCTGACATTTGAATTGATTTAAGCCACTGAGATAACCATAATACGTTGCAACAATAACAGAAGGTTGGGGATAATTGGGTGGGAGACATGGGGTACAAACGCAATTTGTGGTTATGGGCATGCTGCCAGTATGAATCTAGCCTTCACATCTTGGGCATGAGGGGTGGCAATCAGCTTTGTATCTCATGAATATTCATAACCAATAAAAATAAATAAATTCATCAAAAAAGAAAAAAGTAATAATAGGAAACTACCACATTCCAATTCAGGCTGATGATAAAAATAATGTGTGGTATTACAAATGGTAGTATTCCATTCCTTTTTACAGCAAAGTAGAATTCCATCGTGTAGATATACCACAGTTTCCTTATCAAAGACACAATCACAACAATTCTTTGAACTTGGTAAGACAAGTGAACAGATATGATGGCAGGGGAGAGAGGGAGGGTGGAAAGAGGAACAGGTAAAGGGTCCTGAAAATCAACTACAATGTATATTGAGAAGTTAAAATTAAAAAAAATAATAATAAATAAATAAAAAGAATGTTTTCTGGATGACACCTTAGAAAAATTATCTCTGCATTATAAAGAGAGCAAGGAGAGGTCCTCAGTTTTGTTTCTCTGGTGGCTGAAATGTCCTTGCAATTCTGCAGCCATTTATGGTGAACAGGGTAACAGCCCTAGAAAGAAGCCACTACATGGAGAAGTGAACTGCAGCCCTGCTGTTCTATGCCTGGACCTGCCCTGGCTTTGAACTCTTCGTAAGGAAAGATGATAACTGTTGTAACCATTTGACCCTATTTGAGTTAAGACTTTTGATTTATTGCAGCTGAAGACATCCTCCCCGATAGACCTGATTATCTCAAATCTACCTAAATAGATGTAAGGAAAGATGATAACTGTTGTAACCATTTGACCCTATTTGAGTTAAGACTTTTGCCTTATTGCAGCTGAAGACATCCTCCCCGATAGACCTGATTATCTCAAATCTACCTAAATAGATGAACTGCAGTCATGTGCTGTATAATGACATTTAGGTCAACGACAGACCTGATGGTGGGCTCATAATATTATATTGAAGCTGAAAAATTCCTATCTCCTACTGATGTCGTAGCTGTTGTAAGATCCTAGTGCAATTCATTATTCATGTGTTTGTGGTGCTGCTGCTGTTAACAAACCTACTGCAAAATATGTTGAGGAACAGTGCCTAGCTTACCCATGGGGTAACCCTCCCAAAGGCAGCTGAGACCGTTAAGATAGAAAGCCAAGTATTTGACACATTAGATCTGACTTCACGTAAAAAGGTTATGTCTACTTTAGAATTCTTGCATTTTAAAATGATTCCCAACCACCCCATACCAAAATAATATTTTATAACAGTTAACTAACACACACTGAGTGCTTGCTGAGTGCTATGCACAATCCCTACCTGTAATTTAATTTTCATAACTTTGTGGGGGTGATATTATTCTAATCCCTATTTAACAGATGAGAAAGGTGCAGAGAGACTTAGTAATATAATTAGAGGGCCCGTGTTCATGAAGCTAGTGGCCAGTGTAGATAAAAGGAAAATTCATTGCTGTTCCCTTTCATAATAAACTTTTGCACAATAAAGTCACCTAACAACTCATTTCTCAAAACTTATCCAAGTCGTTAAGCAATGCATGACTATAATATAATTATGTCAACTTTAGGAATGAGAAAATTGAGCTTAAGCAATTGAAATGAATTGTCAAA